GCCCCAGCCGTATCCCTTCCCAGGACTTGCTCCTTGTGCAAAGGAGTCATCCACTGCGCCCAGGGCCACCAAGTCCTGCAACAAAACTTCCTGGGGCATTTGCCCTTGTACTCCAGCAGGGTGCAGTTCCGGCACACCAGCCTGTGGCCAGGGTGATGTGGCCATGCAAAACTCCTTCTGGGAGCATCCCCCTCCACCAGCTGACATGGCTTGAGGGGACAGACCCTGACATCTGTCCCCTGCCTGGTGCAAGCCATGGGGTCCCTGGCACTCCCTGGCATGGGGAGGGTGGTTCCTCGAGTCTTGGGCCAACAGACTCTTTTACACGCTGGAATATGCTCTGGCAAAGATAAAAATCTCACCTCTGGGTTTATTTTTGTTGCTGCCACGAGTGAGTTTGGTATCGCTGCCAGCTGGGCCTTTCCCAAATCCAGCTGCAGCTCCTCAGCTAAAAGCATGTGTTATGGGGGTGCCCCGGCTTGCTCCCAGCCCAGAGATTTGGCCCTGCACACACGCTGGGGGAGCAGCATGGCTTCCCTATGCTGGTGCTGTGGACCCCGGGGGGTGCCCCCACCCCATGCCCCTCCAAACCCCTGGGGTCAGTGAGGAAGGAGCCTCTGCACAGCCCAGCCTGGATGCCAAACCGGCACCACCCTGACAGAGGGACAGTACTGGCCCCAGCTGTCACCCCACTCCATGTGTTCCAGCTCCTGTTGGGACAGGAGCAGCTCTTGGGAAGACATCTGTAATTGGGGATGGCTACAGTGGAGGGAGATGAAGCTGGTTCCATCATGTCTGTATGGCATTTCCAGAGCAGAGCCCAGCCTGGGACAGACAGCTTGGCTGGGCTTCATGCACAAGAAAGACAAGGGTCCAGCATGACCTGAGCTACCACAGGGGCATGAGGGCTCCTAAAGGAGGCAGATGAGAATGGTCTCAGGGACCTCCATCTCCACATGCATCTTAACATAGGCAGCACCTGGGGACCGTGTGACCTCCTCACACAGTGGTGGCGGTGCATTTAGCATCCCGATGCGTTGGATGGCTCCCAGTCAGGAGCTGGGAGCTGCTTCGCTGGGGTCGTGGTTCAAGCAGTGTCCTGCCTTGCCCAGGGCTGGTGGGAACAGAAGCCACTGTATGAGGGCAAGGCTGTGAGAAGAGCAGCCACCTGTTCACAAGGGTGGCTGAGAGGAGGATGGTGTGGGAGAACAAGAAAAGGATGTGGCTGGGGGTTGCTGTTTGTCCAGCACGGACAAGCTGGTGCTGGGAGATGTGGAGCTACTGGACTGGGTGGTACAGTTGGTGCCACGGCTTGGTAGCTGAGCCCTGGAACCTGGAGGTGGACTGTGTCTCCAGACCAGTCCTGTCATGTGGAGATAGCTGGAACTGTCCCAAAAGTAAAGCCAAGTCTTGCAAGCCGTAACTGGGAGCAGCTGCTGACCACCCACAAGTCCATGTGGAAGGGTCAGGGGAGCAGGGAACGACAACAGGGAGTTGGTCAGCCTGTTCCTGCCTCAAATTCTCATGCTGGGACTAAAAACCTGCTAAAGTGGGCAAGATGCCTCCAAATGCCTCTTGAGGCAGATGCCAACCACGTCCTGTTTCAGCTGGGAGGGGCTGGCTTTTGCTGTTGTCATGATTGGCAGCTGTCACTCATTTCAGATGAGGCTTTGCAAGATGTGGGTTGAAGTCCAGGTCCCTTCTTGCCATGTGCCCAGGTTGTGTGCCAGGGACTTGAGTCACCCAATACCTCCCCAGCCACCAGGGAGAAATGGCCTAATTTTAGTTGGGCTTTAAGGCTGAGCACAACCATCTTAAATATCTGCACATCATCTGCTGTAAGCCCGTCCCGTGAGGGGGCTGGATGTGGAGAAAGGCAGATTTGTCCTCAATTGCCCCAAAACTCTGCACAGAGCCTGGGTTTGTACTTTGGGAACCCTCTGTCTCACAAAGGTGGTCACCCCATGGTACCCACCCAGTGGTGCTGGGGGCAGAGGGCATGACATGCTGACATTTCCCAAGACTCCTGGCTGGAGAGAAGAAGATGTTAGTGCTGAGCGGAGACTGAAAACACCGGGTATTTCTCCCAGCTGGCCTCCAGCCATGGTGCCAAGCCCATACAGCAGGTCTGCAGTATGTGCTGGGCACCTGGGAC